TGTGTGTGTGTGGCATAATGGACATGTCAGTTCAAGAAATAGTTTTTTCATCTAATAAATCATTTTTAATTTTTTCAAAGATTTTAAGGCATCTTTAGCCGCTTAAAAGAATTCTACAGCCTGCCATTCGTGTATGATATATGAATCAACATCAATTTCCTCATGCTCATTTGCTCAGTCAATTAAACTTAACTTTTGACAACCAATAATAGTAATAGTACTAACAGTGTGAAGGCATTGACAAATGTTATTAAGAGACTCTAAGGTAATTAGTCTGCATTTTGTCAAGGTGAAATCTGTGAGCTGTCATGGCAAAAATAGTGCTCTGATTAACTGCTAGGGTGGTAATTGGAGAAGCCCTGATCCATATTGTCATGTACAGTATGTAACCCTTTGAGTTAAACAGAGGCAGCAGTGGCCCAGTTTTACACCATTGGCTGTTTATTTTAATAAAGCATAGTTATACAAATATCCCCACAAGTATAGTAATACCAGTAAATTTTGACCTTGTGGGGACATTTTTTAGGTCCCCATGAGGAAACAAGTTTACAAATCATACAGAATGCAGTGTATTGAAAATCTGAAATAGCAGAAAGTTTCCTGTAAGGGGTAGGTTTAGGTGTAGGGCGATAGAAAATACAGTTTGTACAGTATAAAACCATTACGCCTATGGAGAGTCCCCACAAAAAAATGGAAACCTGTGTGTGTGTGTGTGTGTGTGTGTGTTTGTGTTTGTGTGCACTTTATTTATTTATCTAGGAAATTGTTTCTGAATGGGAAGCAGAAGCCATCATCTATTAGCTGAGTTCATTTTTTTCTTATCTTACGTCTCAAACCTCAATTTTGTTTGCTTGTGCTCATCGATCCAGAAGGAACAGAGTCCTTTATCTATTATAACACTGTTTTTCTTCATAGATCAGGGATGGATTTTCCGGTGCTCGGTTTTTAATGATGAATAATTTAGGTCTTTACTCATGCTTAATGTGTCGCACACAAACATGCTATCACATAGTTCATGTCCAGATGATGTGGGCTGGATCGGTATCGCGTATGTGGCCTTTTCCTGTGTGGCTCACAGGGATTTAGAGGCTCGTTTGGGGCGCGGGGGGATGGGAAACAGGGTCAATCACAGCGCACTCCAGTAGAGCCACAGTGGACATCCATGTGTACTTCTGCTGGAGGAGGTCATTGGGAGGTAAGAGTCACTTGCTGAAAATGTCATTGAGCTTTAGGGCGTTGTATTGAATAGTTTACACAAAAAGGAAATCATTTACTCATCATTTACTCACCGCCATGTTGTTTCAGACCTTTAAGCTGTTATTTTTTCCCAGGAGTCTTTATGCAGGGCTTTGATATATAACACAACAAGTTTTTTAAGCTTTTTAAAGGACAAAAAATATCATAAAAGAACCATAAAATAGTACATGTGTCTTGTGTGTGTGTGTGTGTGTGTTTAAAGACTTCGGAAGTCTGTGCAAGGAACTGAAATCGTATTTTTCAAATTTCATTCTCCGTGTTTAAAAATCATATCACCATTATTGAAAAAAATTATATCGCGATACATATTGATATTGAATTATTGTCCAGCCCTAATTTCACGTATTCAAACTGGCACATTACATTGTACATTGTGATTTTTTTTTTTTCATTAAAAACAAAAAACTTTTACCATAGTGCACAATTTGTAAACTAATTCATCTTGATGTTTTCATTACATAACCAGCTCTGTATGTATGGCTCTTCTGAAATAGTAAACTTGCTCGATAGCTCACCTGGTACAGCATTTCACTTGCATTCGGGTACGAGTCTTGTAATTAAATGTTTTCACATTCATCTCTTTTGGATAAAACTGAACGCTGTTTTAGCACCACTCACTAGACATTTCACTTTGAAATTGTCACAAAGCGTGCAAGAAGCAACATAATATTGTTTCACAAAGGTGCACGGGCATGTTTTTTCCAATGAACCTGGTTTAACCTATAGACTACTTCTTAATGTTTTTATGGCATTTTATGCAGCATAAAACCTATTTTGCTGTCTTTTTGGCACTTCACAAATGTGATTAGTATTGGGGGGGGAAAAAGCAGTGTTAATTAAAAAAGCATTTTCTTGTGCGTTTCACCCATCCGCATATGGGTTTAGAACAACACGAGGGTGAGAAATTACAGGGTTTTTTAACAAATACAAATTAACACATTTTAATGGCATGCCTTTTTTCATTTTTCAACAATATTTTTAAACACACATATATGTTGTAAACTCGAAAAACATTAATCAGTTCTCCTTTTGAAGTGAGATAAAGCAACTGAAAACTGCAGAGGGTAAAATTAATGAGAGTTATGCAGTAAAAGACAAATTTGTTAGTTGGCAGTGTGTGGGAAATCCCATCCTACGAGAAACATCTCTGACAATACACCACGTTAACAGGACTTAATTAACAGAAAGTACAGCCACATCTGCATGCAGCCACATTTACCCACAAACACTTGCCATCATAGTGTATTTACACTTCCAGTTTGATTGTGTGTGTGTGTGTGTACAGTTTGTGTGCGAAGATTTGTGGGTGTACCATCCGTAACTAATGAGAAAGTAATGTCAGAGACAGCTGCTCAGAGTGTTGTGTGCACGAGGTCAGGGAACCGCATAAGCGGCAGATACTCTGCTGCTAAACGCCCAGAGCTTGTGTTTTCACAAGGACAACACTGGCCTCACAGACGTCCTTCTTCAAGATAAAAATCATCCTCACCCGCTCCCATTGTTTGTCTACATTCATCCATCACACTAGCGATTGCAGTCAGTTAACTGAGGAGGGGAATTAAATCAAATACAAACTTGTGGCAAAAAACTCTAAAACGCAGTGCTTTCAGTAGCTATGGCTGTTTTTGAATAGCATGCACAGAAAATTTTGTTTGCTTGCCGTTTACATATTATAATAGGGGCTTTCAGTTAATTAAAAAATAATGAATTATTCACATGATATGCTTATTTATTGTTTAAATCAATCACAATTCATATTGTGTATATCAATATTTGTTTAGAAACAGTCCCAAAATTAAGATACTACAAAGTTTCTAAGACATAATAATAATAATAATAATAATAATAATACAGCATTGTTGTGACAGGTGGGTAAAGCATTTAATAGACATTCAAATATTGTTGCAAATATTGGCTTTAAAAGTCAATATGTGATTAATTTTCGTTCCGTAAAATGTAACATAATCCATTTCCCCCCATTTTAAGGCTGGTATAATGGATTTTTCTTTGTAGCTTCTTTAATTTTTTGTATAATTAATTGTACTAAATGAATGTTTTAAATTGACAACTCTAATTGTAATGTTAATGATCAAATTGGATGAAAAAGATACGAAACGAGAAAGCTTGACGGCAGATTTGGCGCTTAGTCAGATAAACTCTAATTTGCGATTATAAACCAGAGGCGCCATTCATAAACATCAGTGATGACTTGAGTTTAAACGTCAAGTCTCATCTCATCTCTTCTTCATAAATCTCTGAAGCTGGCGATTGCCATTCAGAAGACGGTGCGCCTTCCCATCTGTCACCAGGAAAATTGCATCATCATTTTCACAATCCATCCATCTATCCTGCAGATGTCAGATGGCTTTCTCCCCACCATGTTTATCGCAGATAGTTTTGATAGGTGGGAGTTTATTTATATCCATTCTCAAACAAAATGTGGTTTCGGTACCTTGATCTTGCTGTACAATCTGACAAACAGTCAAAATAATTAGCTGAGGTGGAGCTTCCAGCTGAGAAATGCGGTTTCGTCTCGGGTAAAGGATCTGGTTTGGGTAAAGAATAGTGACTCCATGTCTGTGTGAGAGAGGCTTTTACAAAGAGCATTCACGGATACTTTTTATCTTCATTCTAGAGCTCTAATGGAGCCACTCTCTGATGCCACTTTCAAGACATCTCATCTCTTTTGATATGTTTACAGATGAATGGCTGTTTATATCTCAAGGAGGTGTGTTATACCTGGAGAAAGATGTCCATTAGCATTCCCATTTCTGGAGAAAAAAAAAATTTAACAATTCTAGTGGTGCACTACCATTTTTTATGTTTTTGAAAGATCTGTCCATCCATCATTCTGTCCTTCTATCTATGTCAGTCATTCTATCTGTTCTAATTTCTTGATGCTTTAAGTTAAGAATAAAATTGTAGTTATCGCAGCTCTGTTTACTATATTTTAAATAAATTCTGCAGATTTCCTCTCAAAATCAGCATAGGAAAAGGTGAAAAACTTGCAAGAAAAGTGCAGATTCTGTCTGGGTTACCTATAATTCAAGCATATAATTGCAAACTAAAGCATATTTAAAAACGAATGTTCTTCTTTTGCCTTTTTGTAAGGACATTTTTAAAAATGGTTCTGTTTCTCATGCTGATGTTGTTTTCTCTTTAAGTTTGATCTGCTAATGAGATGCACAGGCAGAGAGACAATACATTTCATAATTTGTTTCCTTGCATCCTCTGCAGTAAATTAATTTCCCCAGACTAGCAGCTTCCTGCTGAGATGACACGTAAATGCACAACTGAGGCAACTGCTAACTGTGTGTTTATGGGATTTGTGTTTGTTAACGTGTTTGTGGATCTGAGGTGAGCATAAATGTTAGTTGTTGTTTTTTTTTTGTTTTTTTTAGAAATCTAAATCTATGACAGCATATAGTCCCGTTTCATTGTCATTTGACAGGAAATGTGATTGTTTGGCACATTTTATTGCTTGAGGTCAATTCAACAAAACCCCCATCTTTTTTCTGTCTCTCTGTTTTACGTTTGTTTCCTTTGAGCTGTCAGAGTTAATTGGAAAAGAGGTCAGGGGCGCATAGAGAGAGTGAAGGATGGATATTAATCAGCTCTTACGGGCATAAACATGCATGACAACATTATGTTCCTGTCCAGCAGCCAGTGGAACTTAAACTAATCAATGAAATATGAGAAACTGGGTTAAATAAGTGATGTAAAATCAGTGTCATGTATCTGTTCATCATCACTTAATAACCCTTAACGGGTTAACATTTCCAGGGATGTAGATGCGAAATAAAACCTCATGTTTCAGGGTGCATTTCATCTAGCATAACTCAACCTTAAACATGCATGGAGAACGTCAGCCCATTTTTCTTATGATCTATAGATGTGTCTCGTGGGATCATTATGGAGATAACTGTGCCAACCCATCTGTCCTCTGCAGTGAGACTGAAGTATCTACATTCCTCAAAATAGAGTTCTTTAATGGTGCTTTCTTCTCATTTTTGGCTGCTAAATCAGTTCTGTTGGTTTTTGACCCTGCTGGTGTTTGTTTGTGGCACTGAGAAACTGCCCTAAGAGTTTACTCATGCTTCTGTAAGTTATTCTTTTATTCTTCTGATCCGGGAAGTTCTGCTGCTTATCTAATAATGATGACTGCTTTGATTTGGAGGTCACTGTTAGTCTTTGGTCAGTCGTAAATACCGGCTCCAGCCTGAAGCTGATATCACAGGCAAATTGACCTTTGAGTCGCACTGCTGTTATTTATGCCATAACTTAAGAGAACGAGAGAGAGAGAGAAGCAAAAAAAGAGGGTCATTTACAACACACTTTGAAAGAATAAAAAATCATGAGGATCACGGACTGTCAAATTCAGATGCGATTTTGATTCATTTCTGAAAATGTTTTGAATCCTAGTCTTCTTGCATGCTGATCAAAACTTAACACATCTTACCCTTAACTATTAAGACATGGTTGTTCTTTTTTCTTGTTTTATTATTTTATCTTGCCAGTGGTGCAAAGTTGAGCCTGGACTGGCATTGAAGTCCCCTTTTAAAAAATAGCAGCACGGCGCCCTGATAGATGTCACATATAAACAGTCCTGAGGCCAAACAAAGGTCATACAATAACCAATTCTCACTCAGTCGCAAGGCAGCCGTAGAACAAAACAGCCAGTTATAAAATTTTTAAGCAGATGTGTTGGTAAAAATAGAAGCTTGCAGAGAAATGCATCTTGATGGTGTTTTATGTACTAGAACACATGAGAATATACAACATAAAGACAAGGAATAGTGTGCAGTAAATAGCCTTTCTGACTGTGTTTATGTACAGCTGTTAGGGCAAAACCTTTCATCGCTTGATGACACAAATCTGGGCAATCAATCTGAAAGCCAAGTTCACGCAAAGTGCATTGAGTTTGCCCTCAACTTCTTGACCTGCTTCAGATTGACACTATTCTGACCACGAGCTTAGTGTGTTGCATATTGGAGCAGTTTCTTCTAACGCCTTTCAGAAGCAGGAAACCTGGTGTAAAATGCTGAAATGCTGGAATGTAGCTTTTCAAAGCGGCAGCCCGATCCAAATGTTTCTCTTGAGGCACTGGTGACATTTTCAACAGTATAAAACACACAAAGAAGGCCTGTTAGGCATCATGTTTATTATCGTTTTAAGTACCAAACCATTTTTCATTGCTTCTCACCCTGACACCAAAATTCGAACTGATATGAATCAAACAAAAGAATGATGATTGGAAAGCAGCACATTTTCACTGTCAAAGAGGTGGTTGTTGAAAGGATAGTTTACCCAAGAAAGACAGTTCATAAAGTTTACCAAACCTATATTGCTTTACCTGTATCTGTATTCTTTGATCTGTGGAACATAAAAAAAGATTTTAAAAAAGGTTACCAAAACAGTTTGGTTGCAAGATTTTTCAAAATATCTTCTTTTGTGCTCCACAGAAGATAGAAAATCATATAGACGACATGAGAGTGAGTATATCACTTTTTTTTTTTGAGTGAACTGTCCATTTATGTGGCTTTTTTTATTTTTATTAAAGGGCATATAATCTGATTAATTTGACTACATTTTTAATCAGTACACACCCTATGTGTATATCATATGAGTTCTGAATATGAAATGTGCGTTACTTGAAGATGCAACTGCTTCACACAGTTGGTGAGCCATTTAAAGATAAACATAATGTGCTCTGATGGGACCGCATGCTGAGAAAACTCAACAGCACAATGGATCTACCAATAAAACAACATGAAGTCATGCTGTGAATGCATTCACACCCTGTGAAAAAGACAACAAAAAGCCTTGATAGGAAGAGTGTTTTTCATCTAACATCTTAACTCTTTCTTTCCTTCCATCTTTTGCCTCCTCCATCTTTCCTTCCCCTCCATTCTCAGGAGTATCCGGTGTCTGAGAAATATCATCCACTGGAACCTGATTACAGCATTTATCCTGCGAAATGCCACCTGGTTCGTGGTGCAGCTCACTATGAACCCAGAGGTGCATGAGAGCAATGTGGTGAGTAAACACATACGCAGACAAATATTCTCTCCTTCTCCTATTACTTTTCTTTTCAAAATACACAAGCAGTGCACACATAATCCATTGTTATTTCTCACAACACGCGCACACCCACCTTTTTGTTCCATCCATTGTTCGTTCTCGCTATTTCTCTCTCTTCACCCTACTGTTATTCTCTCATTCTGTTGGCACACATGCGGACAAACACAAGTTTACTAAAGGAATAGTTCACTTGAAATGAAAATTTGAGTTTGTTTCTTCATCTGAACAGATTTGGAGAAATTTAGCATTACATCACTTGCTCACTAATGGATCCCCTGCAGTGAATGGGTGCCGTCAGAATGACGGCTGATAAAAACTTCACAATAACCCACAAGTAAACCACACAACTCCAGTCCATTAATTAACGTCATGTGAAGTGAGAAGCGGCATGTTTGTAAGAAACAAACCCATTACTTATTGCATTTTTAACTTCAAACTGTTCCTTCCAGCTCAACAATCCATAATAATGCTTTCTCCAGTGAAAAAGTCATCTTGTCTGAAACAGGAGAGAAATATGCACAGATCTGAGAAACAGATTCACACAGTGCATACAGTTGGATTTTGAGGTGAGAGGACAACAGGGGATGGACTTTTTCACTGGGGGAAGCGTTATGACTTTTGAACTGGTGTTTTAGCCAGAAGCAAAGATTTAAAGTTAAAACACCCTAATGATGGATTTGTATCTTTTCACTTCACAGTATGTTGATTGATGGACTGGAGTCATGTATGTTACTTGTGGATTATTGTGATGTTTTTATCAGCTGTTTGGACTCTCATTCTGACGGCACCCTTTCACTGCAGAGGTTCCATTGGACATAAAGTGATGTAATGCTAAATTTCTCCAAACCTGTAATGAAAAAAAAAACATATGGACATTGAATGGTCTGAGGGTAAATTTTCAGCAATTTTTCATTTTTGGATGAACTATTAATTTAATTGCATTCAAAACCTGCCCCTGACACCTGGGTCTCTGTTTCTGCTCTCTAACAGACATGGAAATCTAACTAGTCTCAGAGTGTATGGCGTTGTTGGCACTAGATGTGTGTTGGTGGGTGTTTTGGGTGGGAATGCAAACAGCTCGGCCCCTGAGTCACCATCCGCTATGCTTCCCCAAGAATTAATTACCCTCCACATTTCTGTGCTTCCTTAATCAACTGAGCCGAGCAATTAATTAATCTACCGCCATGTCAGTGTCAGTCCCAAGGGGCTTTTCCATCTACATCCAAATTCAGACTCGTACTTTATGATGCACATGGCTTTTCAGAAAGTATCAGAGTTTGATTGCGCCATGTTTGTCCTTGATACTTATCTTTTGTATTTGCCAAAGCAAAATTTGTACCTGTTTATCTGTATTTTATGCAAGGGCTGACTTAATTGGCTCTTCATGCTAAGATTTTGCATGGCAACACATTAGTTCTACCTCTGAACTCCCCTAGAGAGAAACTTCAAATAGGAAGCAAAAAGTTGCAAGGGGTTTTAAGGCGGAAGTGGTTATTAAGCATTCCTCCAGGTCTTTGTGCAGACAGCAGTGGCCTAATTTTCCTAGTTTCCATTCAAAGAAAGCTCTTTTGAGATGTTTAAAAGTGACAAGAAAAGATTTGTGGACAAATGCCTTCCGTCGACCTGTCTAGATGAAATAAAATGAGCATTTTTGGACAGAATGGAGAGCCGGAGGCTGTTTAAATGTGAAGGAAATTGTGTAAATACGCGATGTCATTGATGCACTTGTTTTGAATCGTTTCAATTACAGTTCAAGCAAGTGAACCCGGTTGCCTCTTGGTTTATACAAAGACCATCTTGACTCAATCCTCTTTGCTTAACGAGGTTGAGCTTTGCATTATGTCTTTTGTTTCTGTATGTACAAGATGCATCTGTTTAGAAACGGCTCACAAGTCAGAGCAAACAGCTCTTTCGCTGAGCTTTATAGCACAAAATGACACATTTATTGTGAAAAGTGTCACTTGGTGGAGAATTTACACAATGCCTGTTAATGAAAGACATTGTTCAGTAAGTAACTGTAAACTTAGCAATAAAGATCCCAAAGAAGCTTATAATCTCTACATGATCCTAAATTCCTGTCACACCAGGGGGCCTATTATGCAAGACGGTTGTAAAATTCTGCAGAAGTACTTCTGAGAGCCAGAGGACTTTATGACTGAAGAAGCTTTTCATTTCCCTCCGCTATTTCACATGTTGAAACAAAATCGTTACCACAGAACACGTGTAATGGTCTATGGACTATTAGCTCACTGATTAATGCTGGGAAACAATAAACCTTCATTAGTTTTTCAAGCCCATATGGCTGAGATGAGCGTTAGCCTGAGATTTTGCTTTCTGAGGTCTGAAAATGTATAATCTTTCTGTGACCCTTGAATTCCCACTTCAGTCATAACTCACAGCTGTAATCTTCAATCTTGAGCCGAGAGTGACAGATTTTTTATCTTCTCGTGAGACAACAACTTGACAGGGCACAGTGATGAAATATGGCCAAAACAAAGGAGCGGCGGCTGGGATTAAACAGGATTAAATAGAGGGCTCCTCTGATGTGGATGTCTCTTGCAAATGTCAGAAGCATCTCTGCTTTCCCATCCAGCTGCAGTTCTGTCATACTGTCTTTTTAACATCTCTGTCATTCGAGTTTTTGTTTGTGTTTGTGTTTGTTTGTTTTTTGGCCTGTTAGATGATTTCTTAATCATCAATCTATCCTTTTTCAAAGTATATACACTATCGTTCACAAGTTTGGGGGCAGTGATTTTTTTTTCCTTTTGAAAGAAATCTCTTATAAATGTATTTAATCAAAAATACAGTGAAAACAGTAATATTGTGGAATATTATTACTGTAACTGTAAAAAAGTTATGTAAATGTATTTATGTATGTATTTGTTTATTCTTCCTTTTACAGCTTTGTGTTTTAGCACTTTTATTTGCTTGATATCTTTGTGGAAACAAATTTAGTGGATACATTTGTTTTTAGGATTATTTGATTAATAGAAAGTTCAAAAGAACAGCATTTATTTAAAGTAGAAGTTAGTATTGTTTATTAATGATGTAAACTGCTATTTATTCATATGAACTATTTAATTTATACACCTATAATATTTACTACCAATAAGATGAAAACAAAATCTATGAAATTTTCATTTAAAAATCCAGTTTGAGTAAGATTCTTATGAAGGAAATTATTTCAGTATAAGCTATTTATTATATAAATGAATATCAAGAATTTAGACATATACTCTCTCTGTCTACATTATGAAAACTGGTCAAACAAATAAACAAAAACCATTCCAGTAATTCCAAACTGCAATAATGTTTCTCTAGTAAAACAACAGCAGTTGGGTACGTGCATTTATTCCAGAAACCACAATCGCAAACAATATAGTTGAGATCCATGTAGCACAAGCGGCTCATGACAGAACACAGACTGAAGCTGCCAGACTGCATAAATTAAGTAAAACAGGCCGAAAATGTATCTTTTCAACAGAGAAGCTCTGATTTGGGGATTTGAACTCTTGATATGTGGCAACCGCAAACATGAAAGCTGGCATAGTAGAGGCGTGTACAACAGTCTGCAATATTTTTGTCTTATTTTTTTATTTTTTAAAAAAGTTTTGATTTTTTAAATACATTTCATTCTCGTATTTTATCATCCATGATATTGCATGTTGGTATAGTCACAGTTATTGTTTGTTGACCTTATTTTCGTCTCGTCATTGTCTCATTTTAGTCATGGGAAAAAAGATTGTCAACGAACATTTTTCACCATAGTCTTCATTGAGGAAATTACCACTAGTGTTTACACTGTTTTCTTAACTAAAAAAAAACCAACTTATAAAACTGCCTTTAAAATTGTTGAAATCTGATCAAACTACTTTTGATCTGCCAAAGCTTAAAGATTTCACATTCAGAAATAAGACTTTGATTTTGACACTGACCATCTGTATTACATCCTAAGAGGTATTGTGCTTCTGATAGTCCTGTCATGAGAAGCCATAATCCACTGGCTTTCATCATACTTTAATCTAAATCTGTTCCATCCCAAGGCCTCGTTTTAGACCCCCCCATCCCAATCTACCCATCTGTAATGTACCTTCCCTTGGAGTAAAAAGGTTTTATCCCCTGCTTGGTGTTTGAACTCTGCTTCAGTCATAAAGAGTAACCCTTCCACACACGCAAACACACACATGCGCAAGCTTTCATTTCCTTAAGCTATTAAAATAAAAGCATTTTAAAACAGAGGATGCTAACAAGAAGTGGCATGGCGATCTCCTTAGGCACAATTTAGGACAGTATCTAAACATCTAACTGGATTTCTCTTTCTCTCATCACTCTCAGATCTGGTGCAGGCTGGTCACAGCAGCGTATAATTATTTCCATGTGACCAACTTCTTCTGGATGTTTGGAGAGGGCTGTTATCTGCACACAGCAATAGTACTGACATACTCCACCGACAAACTGAGGAAATGGATGTTCATTTGTATAGGCTGGTGTAAGTATCCCATGATCCACTATGATGGAAATTATACAGTTTTTGGATCATGCATATTGAAATAACTTATGACTTATGGCATGTGCAGTCACATGTATTTAGAGATGAGCATGTCACATTGTTGATGTAGAATTATTCCACATCAAGTACTTGTTTTTGTCCCTTATGCCTGTGTAAACATCTATGAATAGCTTATGCTAACTTAAAATATCCTTAATATTTATTAAACACATTAAGAAAAACTAACAAAAATATTTTATTTTATTTATTTATTTATTATTTTATTTTATTCAACATAATATTTTTTTTTTTTTAGCTTGAGATTGCGACATTGAAATGTATTAACACTTTAAACAAGGGCTGTCAAACAATTAATCACGATTAATCACATGCAAAATAAAATTTAGTGTTTATATAATATATGTGTGTACTAATTATGTATATATAAATAGACACACATACATGTATGTATTTATATTTATATTATATATAAATATAAATGGTTTTTTTTATAAATATAAATTTTTTATTTATATTTTATATACAGTACACACACATATATTATATAAACAAAAACTTTTATTTAGCATGAAATGAATTGTGATTAATTGTTTGACAGCCCTGCTTTAAACACATTATATACCTGATATAATTTTTAAAAAAAAGAAAATAAAAAAAAGAAAATGGAAAAGTATGAACTCACCTGGGAAAAGCACCTGTTTCATAGAATGACATAGATTGTTTATTAAAATGTATTTAAAGTCAGTCTGACACAGTACACAATCCATTTTACAAAAATAATTATGATTAAAAATGAAGCAGACAAACAATTTTGGACACAGCGCAAATACTGAGAAAGCAAATAAGGTCATTTCTGATTTCATGTTGCCTTTAAAGTACAGCAGTGATTAAATTACTGTCAATTAATAACTTGAAAAGGAGACACGGTTACAGTAGTTGATAATTACACTAATGAGGACTGCAATTTAATCAGGTTCTCTTCTGAACCATAGGCAAATTATTATTATGCGAATAAACAAGCCTTGGATTTTCCTCATTAAAAATGCATTGCAAATGAGTCATTGCCGAGGATTTATCACACAGTTCCTTAATAGTATCAATTATACTGTTTGTACAATGTCTTTGATTTTTCAAACTAATCGGAGTGGGTGGAAATTTGCTCTGCTTTTTTCCTCAGGTATTCCATTCCCCATTATTGTCGCTTGGGCCATTGGCAAGCTGTACTATGACAATGAAAAGTGAGTTTCTCCCATGCTGAGGCTTTCTTCCATTTTCTTTCTTTTTTATCTCTGTATAATTCCTGTATTTTACTCTAAACACACAAGCTGCCTCACCTCAATAAAAGCAATTAAAGGTTAGATTAACTCCAATTATCTCTGTCATCTACCCTCACTCTGGTCATTAAACAATCGATTCATGATAAAGCCAGAGAAGCGTTCTGCGCTCTGAGTGAGGCTAATTAACACCTGCTACTCACGAAATTGATGTAAACATCCTAGAGTTCAATAATCAAGACATGATATATATAGTACAAGATCTCCTGTATAAAAAGAAACAAATAAACAAACACACGCTTTATTAGACATTTTAAAAGGATGGATTAGGGCAGATATTCTACTAAAGCCCTCATTAGCTTCTTCAGTCTCAAGATGGGAAACTTTACAAACAAACAATGAATAAGAAATGTTAGTTTATTCATATTAAGTAGGGGTAGAGGGTATATAATCTTCATTTTCCAGGCTTGACATTTGGGCTTAAGTGCATGAAATATGATATTATTGTAATACAAGAAAGCCAGTGTTGGAGATAAAACAAAAAGCAAGAACAGCATGTTTACTGTCTTCTGCATGTATAGATGGATGGATGGATGGCTGGATGGATGGCTGGATGGATGGATGGATGGATGGATGAATGGATGGATGAATCAATGGATGGATGGATGGATGGATTGATTGATGATTGATGGATGATTGATGGATGAATCAATGGATGGATGGATGGATGGATGGATTGATGATTGATAGATGATTGATGGATGATTGATGAATGATTGATGGATGAATCAATGGATGGATGGATGGATGGATTGATTGATGATTGATGGATGATTGATGGATGAATCAATGGATGGATGGATGGATTGATGATTGATGGATGATTGATGGATGAATCAATGGATGGATTGATGATTGATGGATGATTGATGGATGATTGATGAATGATTGATGGATGAATCAATGGATGGATTGATAATTGATGGATGGATGGATGGATAAAAGTGGACTTTTTTATTCTCCTTTGACTGTGAATAGGAAATAGGTAACACTGTCCAATTTGAACTTTATTCTTATGTGTGAATAGTTGTTAATTGGAGGCTCTGAAGTGCTAACAAACTAAACAGTTCCATTTCCTGCACAGAAGTAATTAAAGAGTCTCTGTTAACAATCCTTAACACCTCTCTAATTCTCTTTCTCACTTACATCTGCTTTACACTATAGAGAGAAGTGATACTCGACTGGTGCATTTGACCCAAAAATGGGTCACAGTTCTGCACAGCAAGCAAACAATGCTAAATGCTAGTAATAAAATGCAGCTAACCATATAATAGTACACAGATTATGTTGTTAATGTCAAAGGCTGTACATCAAGGTGGGTGCTAGGGTGTCTTGAAAATTTATTTGTCACTTAAAGGGATAGTTCACCCAAAAATGATAATTCTGTTATCATCTACTCACTCACAAACCTGTATGAGTTTCTTTCTGTCGCTGAACACAAAAGATCTATTGAAGAATGTGGGTAACTGAACAGTTTCTGCTCCCCATTGACTTCCATAGTAGTCTTTTCATTCTGTGGAAGTCATTGGGGACCAACAAGTGTTTGGTACCTACATTCTTTAAAATACCTTCTTTTCTGCTCAACAGAAGAAAGAAATTCATACAGGTTTGTATGATGACAGAAATTTCATTTCTGGGTGAACTCTCCTTTAAATAGAGGCTAGCCAAATTAGCCTATCCCTTACCAATTGACAGTTGACATGATGGACAGGTTGCCTGAAACATTATAAAAAATATGTACATGAGGTCAAAGAAAATATTAAATATGTGATAAACTATTTAAGTACTGTTGTAGACGGCGCCGGAAAAGCATTTTTAAAACATGCTCATTTTAAAACATGAGGCTTGTTTTACCTGGATGAACCTGTGCATGTCTTTGGTTGAGCTCCAGAAACGACAGCAGTTTGCTATTCAGACGTATCCCCAAACGCCACATGTTCCTCTCTTCCTGTAAAACTGACACACTCAGCCGAGACAGTCTTGATTATGCCGTGTACCCAACTGAAACTGTAAGATTAACAAATCTGGTGCATATCTGCCCAAGGGACACACTTGCTGCCTTCTCTTCCTTGCTTTGTTTCTTTTTATATACCAGAGGAATGGTTTTTTTTTTTGCTAGCCCAGGAGACTTGCCATTCATAACACTCTAAAGTCTGAGTTTTTATTTCATTTTGGTTAATTTGACTATGTTAGCTACCAAATGAGTAGCTCTTAACACACACCACCATGCAAAGGTTTGAGGTTAGTATGACTTTAAAAAAAAATTTATGCTTAACAAGGCTGTATTTATTTGATCCCAAAAAAAAAAGTACAAACAGTACTGTGAAATATTGTGGTAATGTGACATATTATTACACTATAAAATTACTGTTTTCTATTTTAATTGACTTCAAAATGTAATTTATTCCTGTTAAAGCAAAGCTGAATTTTCAGCATCATTACTCCAGTCTTTAGTGTCACATAAACCTCCAAAAATCATACTAATATGCTGATTTGGTGCTCAGGAAACATTTCTTATTTTTATTCATGTTAAAAACAGTTGTGCTGCTTAATATTACTGTGAAAACAGTGATACAGTGATTCATTTTTTTCAGGATTCTTTGGTAAATAGAAAGTTCAAAAGAACAGCATTTATTTTAACTGAAATCTTTTGTAACACTTTAAATGTCCGTCAATTGCTTAGCATCCTTGCTGAATAAAAGCAATAATTTATTTATGTATTTTAAAAAATCATACTGAGCCCAAACATTTGAACGGTACAGTATTTTACAGGTTTTAAAGCCAGAATTTTTGTCAATTTTGTAAGATGCAAAGAAACAGATTGTCTGGGCCCAGCTGGGGTATCATTTTCCAGACACTTATCCTAAAATTCCTTATGAGAAATAATAACAGATATAAAAGGATAGTAGATGCAAGGCAACAGTTGCATACAGTAAACGTTTAGAGCTATAAAAATTAATCTGGAAAGCATAACACTATTGTGCAAGCTAATGATGCTGTGATGGGATGCTCAGACAAACAGCGGTTTTAATAAAAACACAGTGTTTACACTATATGGGCAAATCATCCTACTTTATGGGCTTACTTGTAGCTGTCTCTGCATTTTAAACTGCGATACGAGAATGTATTTTAACATCAAAAACATTACACACTTCACCTTTAAAGAGATCTCATTTGTGATTTGCCTTTCCTGAGGGGAAGCATAAAGATGGAAGAGGATGAGCGGATTGAGATGCTGAATTTAGAGGTGCTTGCTGTTTGTTCTGAGTTCTGGAACTTTATAATAAGCTGTTAGTGTGCTGTGTCAAAACTGTGGCATGAATAAGGGAGGTAGGGATTGATGGATGATTGTTTGGATGATTGATGTATACTGAGGATGAGTGTTGGAGGAGAGAGTGTTTGTATGTATCTGTGTGTGTGTGTGTGTGTGTGTGTGTGTGCGTGCGTGTGTGTGTGTGGTGCTCATATTCCCTCCAGCTATGACTAATGTCTGTGACAGTCACAGTCAGTGGCCCATAGCAAATGCAATACATACTGCTTAAACCAAATTCATCTCAATGTCATCCTGTTGAACTCTGTGTATTATCTACTGTGACATTATTTTGTGTAACATTTTTTTTTTTACTTTTTTGTCTTATTTCATGGAATAAACTAAAGTGTGTTTGTTAAATGTGGTTTTAATTGGATGATTATTTTTGTATATTGAATATTTGATGACATGCCTCATTTCATTTATTTAAATAAATATAATATAATTTTCTAAGTTTAAAACTGTCTATACTTATTTTGAGTATAATTTAAAACAAAAATTAAGAATAAGAAATTTAAAAAGACGTACTTTAATGTGAATGCTGACATAAAATATAAAATAAAGTAGAAAAGATTATTTCCTTTTTGGTCACACTTTATTTGAAGGTCCAATTCTCGCTATTAACAAACCATGAACTATGACTTTTGCCTTGATAAACTGCTAATTTGCTTCTTATTAATAGTTAATAAGGTAGTTGTTAAGTTTAGGTAATGGGTAGGATTAGGGATGTAGAATATGGTCATGCAGAATATGTGCTTTCTAAGTACTAATAAACAGCCAATATGTTATTAATAAGCATGCTAATAAGCAACTATAGTGAGAATTGTTCCCTATGCTAAAGTGTTACCTCCTTTTTCAACTTATTTCCTTTAAAATATGTCTTTAAAATCGTAAAACTGTGTGTACTTTTGGCTCTTCAATTACAGACAAAGAGCTACTGTTTTGTTATTAGTTTTAAGTATTTGCTATTGACTGTTCAAATGCAGAGTTTTGCGCATTGTGTATGTGTGTGTGTGCACGCACGCGCGTGTGTGTGAGAGAGAGAGAGAGAGAGAGAGCGAGAGAGAGAGAGAGGGTCACATCACAGTGGAGTCAGCTGTCTTAACCGTGGCTTGTGTACTGCAAACACATACCAGCTTCATCACTGTGTCTGTCACGCGACTCTGTTCCCCTTTCGGGCTCTGTCTTTACATTTATTTTGAAAGATGAAGCTCGCGATTATGGTAAGGGGCGTTACATTTCCGACGAGTGCTTGCGGTGTTCGGCCAATCACAATGCACTGGGTCAGCTGGCCTATCAGAGCAGACTGCGCTTGTCGGAAGGAGGGACTTTGTAGAAAACGAAGCGTTTGAGAGAGGCGGGGCATAGAGGACCTACAATAATGTACAGTATTTGAAAAATAATGTGTTTTTTGAACATTAAAGCATGTCAACATATTCTGTTACACCAAATACACAAAATAATGATCTTTAAAAAAGCATTAAAAAAATTATTACAAAGAAATGGCAATTTACACACTGAATCAAACATGCGTAGAAAGACTAAAAAAAACATTATTTTCTTGTAAGACTCTTGAATAATCTTGTTTTATTTACAACTTTGAAAAATGATTTCCAATTTCTAAAGACAAGACTTTTATTTCTGAGTTTGGTCTGTCATCATCATCTGTACGTCTCTGACTCTCACAGGAAAGCAGTAAAGGCCACACTGGTTCTTCTGCCGCTGCTGGGCATCACATACATGCTGTTCTTCGTCAACCCAGGCGAGGATGAGATCTCACAGATTGTCTTCATCTACTTCAACTCTTTCCTAGAGTCCTTTCAGGTGAGCAAACACAGTTTTGACCCTGATTAATTGTGTTAAAGCAGATCCGAAACGAATCTTTATGAAATTCACTAAGAATAAATTGCACCCGCTGATAGAGTTGTTTATTTGCACACGCTGCCTTTTACAAAAAGTGCTGAGGTTTGTGAACAAGGCGCATTGTATAATAAGCCTAATTTGCATTGAAAATAATGACAGTGACTGAATCTAAATACAGCGCAGTGCTATTTAAGTGCATTTAATGCTTGCTTAAACTGGATTGCAGGTGCGTAGTGTGTAAGACACAGGTTTTGTGCTGAAACATCACATGCTAAGGCTTTTGTTTTCGCAAAAAACAATCAGTTTACACGACTAAATGTGTGTGTTTTGAGGTTTAGTGTTTTATTAAATCTCACCCACATGTTCGGAAATCCTCGTTCGATTTCCTCAGTCTGCCATGTCATCCGAAGCACACAAGGTCAACTCTGTCCCCTGTTTTGCACCATTTGCTTCCTGGCGTGCCCCGGGGGTCTCTCACGCATGTCGAAGCCATGTTTTCCACAGATTCATCTGCACCCACATCTGTCCGACTCCTCACGGGAGTGATAGTTCATCTGTGGGGAAAATTGAATTTTAGGGTGGTCACGTCAGGAAAACATGTTTAATGCAAACTGATTGTTTTGGTTAGTTTTGGCACAATCCTGATCAGACTGATGAAAGCATGTAAAATCATTAATAAAATCAAAAAGCAATAAAAAAAAAAGATTGGATAATGGATAATACAAAACTATACTGCATAACATATTGTCCATAGTGGTTCTACTTGTGTCCATTCGCACAGTTAGGCAAAGAACACATTTCCTTATAAAATACAGCTAATTAATTTGTTAATAAAGGTGCATTAATTAGCTTTAAAACTAATATTTTTAATGGGTGGGAAAAAAAATGAGAAAAAAATGCTTTTACTGTGGGCATTATCAGAGGTTTACCAGTTTCCTCTGCAAAATACCATGCCAGAAAAAAGATGTTATGCAACCATAATGACAGCAAAACCGTTTATTGGTTTACTTAAATTCCTTTATTAGGAATCGTCTAGACTCTAGAGGGTTAAGATTATCAGATCCCAGAAAAGTCATCAGTTAGGGAGATTGCAGACGATTGCTTCTCTTCTTTACAAAATCATATACAGTACCTTTTTTTTTTGATAGGCTATGTATTATACAAGTTTTTTATTTCTGTGATGATGTAATTGGCACAGATTTCCCTTTTGAAGGTTACACAGAAATTAGACTTTTGCTTTCAGCGTCAGCTATTTGACGCACTCATGTTTTGTTAATGTAACCCAGACACAAGCAGCATTAAAATTATTTGATAATGATTAATTTATGATTGACAGCTAATAATTGTAGCAGGGTTGAATTCATTCCCACTGAATATCCCATTTCATTTGAAAATACTTGAGATAAATGGGTTGTGAACCCTGTTTTATGCTGACTTATTACTTTTATGCTGTTATTTAGATTTTGTTTACTTCTTATTTTTTTCTGGTAAATGTAAATTTCTCATTCTCTTGTTCTCTTTCCAGGGCTTTTTTGTGTCAGTGTTCTACTGCTTTTTGAACAGTGAGGTAAGAAAGCTTCTTCTTCTGATTCCACCCTTTTTGCCCAAGTATGCTCATAGCTCTATTAAAGCGATGGGTCTGTTCTTTGAAGTGCAATGCAAACAGTCTGAGCAGGGGTGTAGCAGCCGCGGGGGACGGGGGGGGGACGTGTCCCCCGCACTTTTAGTAAAAGGTCATTCTGTCCCCCGCACTTTGTTTTTACCCACCGCCGATATTTCGATATTTCCGCCCGTGTTCTCTGATTTGTTTATTTAGATTTGAGTGAACTAACATTCAGCCAATCACAAGGCGAATCATCTCCTGGGCGCGTCTGTCATGAGCTTCAAATCTCCTGTTGCTCTCACGATTTCACTTTGCCCTTTGGGCGGTTTGGGGGTAAAATGCACCCCAGAAAAAAGCAGATGATTACGTCCTTTTTCAAACACTGTAAGTATGTGTTATGTCACGATGACACAAATCACGC